ATATATATATATCCCAAATTGTATGAATATGTTCACACAAAAATGCTCAAAGGAAGTATAACAAAGTATTAACAAGCCTGTCTTTCTGAAGAGGCATTAAACTTTATTTTTTAAAGTTTTCTGTGTTTTACCTGTATCTTCCAATATATTGGCCATATATTACTTTATAATCAGAAAACATAACAAAAGTTATTAAAGTGAGGGAGGGATGAAAATTTCATTATACTTTTCCTGGCAATGTGATGAGAAAATTCTAAAAGACCTCAGAAATCAGAACAAAGCTGGGGCAACCAGCCAGATCCTTCTGGAAATAGCTCCTCCTGGGTTTCTCTGTTCTCAGGGCTCCCCAGGGTCTGTTTCCCGCCTTTGGGAAGGGTATGTGACAAATGTAAGAAGGATCGGGGTTGAGAGGAAGGGGTGGTCCCCAGGGTTAGGCTGACAGGAAGGATAGGAGCTGAGTGAGACCAGTTAGGTGGGAACTTCAGGTCAAGGCCATCTGGAAGTATGGATCACATGAGCAGCTCCAGTCAAAAGCTTGAGGGACTGTACATAGGGATTTCTCCCCCCACAACCATGACATTGGAGGAAATAAGCACCTTGATGGGCTGTCTGGACTTCACAGACCAGAGGTTTTCATGCTGGACTCCTTGGGCCCCAGAGTTCCTTGGGTTGTATCTTCAAGGATAAAAACACGCAATGAAGAGCCTTGAAAGGCCTCTCTATCCCCTGACCTCAACCCAACCAGATCCTCTGTTACCTCAAGAGCCCACCAGAAGCAAAGGGACAAAGGGTTCTACTGTTAGGGGAGAGGGACAAGGTGCTTAAAGTTGATGATGACTATGGGACCCACTGAGGACTTTTTAGAAAAAGAATGGCTGATTCAGCATGAAGCTGCCAAGTGTCTAGTGGGCCAGGCAGCAAAGCCAGGAGCAGTGAAGAGAGACTGGAGACAGAAGGCTGCAGTTGGTGAATAACATTCTGGTAATAGTCATATTCACTGAGCCAGGCACTGGTCCAAGTACATTTCCTGTATGAACTCATTCTTCCCCACCATGACCTGGTGAGGTAGGTACTGTTATTATCTCTGTTTTATAGTTTAGGGAACTAGGCACAGAGATTATAAATAACTTGGGGGAAAATCACACAGCCAGAAAGAGGGAAAACCAGGATGTGGGCCTGGGCTGCTGGCTCTCAGACCTGGCCTGCATTCTTGCCCAGAGAGATGCAGAATAAGATAAAAGTCCCTGTGCAGAATAGATTGTTGCATGCTTCATTGTGGTCACTGCCACACCACCTCTGGGCCTTTTATTTGGGTCTAGTGGGTTCAGGTTCTTAAACTGACAAGCTTCCAAGGCATGAGGACACATGGGGTAGATGTGGGGGGACCAAAGCCATACTGGAATGTAGAGACTACAGTCAAGGGTGAGAGAGAGACTTTGAAGGACTCCAGTAAATCAGGAGGAGGTGGTGCCAAGTGGAGCAGGTGAAAGGCTGTGTTGATTTGGGACAGTGGAGATGCCCCAGGCAGAATCAATGATGTAATAGCATGACTATAATTTTGGAACAGTTTATCTTCATGTTTAGTCTGCATCAGAATCACAGGGCATGTATGTCAACCCAAATTCCCAGGTATCATCCTCAGAGAGTTCGACTCTGAGAATTTCATCTGTAACAAGCTGCCAGCTGATGCTGATGCTCCCAGCCCACCATTTATTTCTCTCTTTGGAGTCCCAATTTCTATCTCCCACCCTACAAAGCCTTTCTGCACAGAAAAGGCCATGAATTCATCTTAAACACTCCCCCATTATATTTTTGTGACATTAGAGTTCTAAAAACACACATGAAAACTCATTTCCTCTTGTGTCTATCTAATACTTTTTGCTTTAGTCATCCAGCCTCCTGGGTAGCTGGTGAACATCTGTGTCTTAACGTAAATAGTTCTGATAGTCTTCTATGCCCTCCCCAGCCTGCTTCCAAATTCAGCTAGTTTCTTTTCTTCCTTAAAAATGTACCAAATGAAGTTTTGAATTATTTTCTCTAGTTCTGTGAAATATACTGTTTGAATTTCAATCGGCATTGCATCAAATCTGTATAGCAGTTTTTAAAGTATGGCCCTTTTCACTATGTTGATTACTTCTACTAGGAGCAGGGGATATTTTTCCATTTTCTTATATCCTCTTCGATCTCTTTTTTCAGAATACTGTAGTTTTCAGTGTAGAGGTATTTTGCTTCCTTTGTTAGATTAATTCCTAGATACTTCGTTTTTGGGGATGTTATTGTGAAAGGAATTATTTCCCTAATTTCTCTATCAGTGAGTCTGTTATTTGTGTACAAGAGGCTACTGATTTTTGAGTGTTGACCTTGTATCCAGCTACTCTGATGAAAGTGTCGATTAAGTCTAGAAGTCTTTTGGCAGAGTTTTTTGTCTTTTATGTAGAGTATCATATCATCAACAAATAATGACAGTTTAACTTCTTCCTTTCCTATCTTTATTGCTTTAATTTCTTTTTCATGTGTAATTGCTGTGGCTAATGTTTTCAGAACTATATTGAACAGTAGTGGTGATAGTGGACACCCTTGTCTTGTTCCTGATTTTAGTGTGACAG